ACAGCAATGGCATTTTCTCAATAATTGAAAAGTGATTCTCTTCCCAATAATGCAGTTGTCACTTATCATGTGTTTTCTTCTTCATCTTTTTCTGTGCTTTCAAACACTTAAAATGCTTGAGCACTTCCTTTTCAGAAAGTTATGAAATTACACTTAAAAATAATTTAATTTTAAATGCTCATTTAAAGGTGTCCATGTATCTGTTATGCCCCTTTCCCTAGGAGCCAGCACTAAGACATTGTTCAGCAGCTTTTCAATGTTCATTACCTTTAAACCTAGAACCAAGTGCAACTGACGTCTGTTACATGCTGGGTCTAGTTTTCTTACATCTTCCAAGACTTTGTGGCATAAGAAACGAATCTAGTACAAATGAAGATTAAATGTTTCTGGGCAACAGTAGAGTTAGCAAACAGATTATTTATCCACAGACGCACGTCAGTCCACTGGAGCAGGGGCTCGGCACATTGGAAATGTAAAGGGATCAGCCTCCTGTGTTTGGGGTCAGTTTTCTTTTGCTGTGTTTTTTAGAATGAGGGTGAGGGCCTAAGTGTCCTTATCAAGCTGTGGTCCATGACACATGCCTATGATGGAGCCCGGGCCCTGCTGCGCCCTCCCGTGGGGCAGCACCGGCGAGCATCAGTGTTTGGTAGAGGAGCCCTCACGTTAAACAGAACCACTGTAGAGTACAGTGTATTGTTGTATTGCTGATTTTCCTTTGAAATATAAAATATTTTAAGGTTTTTTGGTCAAAAGTGGTAACATATTAATGCACATAAAAAACCTTTTTGAATCTGGAAGATGGCAGCATAGGTTAACGCAGGAGTTTGCTGCCTCGAACAACCACTTCAAAAATACAACTAAAAGACGGAACGGACATCATCCAGAACCACAGGAAGACTGGCTGAGTGGAAGTTCTACAACTAGGAGGAAAGAGAATAGCATACCGAGACTCAGAGGAGGTGCAGTGCTGAAGTGAAATACTAAGGTGCGGAGTGCATGCGGAGTGGGCTGGCAGCTGAAGACGCGATTGTTGTTTTCAATTGGGAGGGAGTTTCGGACTCTGAGCTCCAGATCCGGGCAAGTCTCTAGGGACCCAGACTCAAACGGTTGAAGCGGGACTGTCTGGCTTCAGTCGGAACTCGAAGGCAGCTTTCTCTCCAAGGTTTGC